GACCTTGTAAATGAAAATGGTAGTTTGTTTATGATTTTAAAGGTAGCCACACAGGCATTTTAATAAAAATTACTAAGAAAAAGTATTAAAATTTTTAGTTTTCAATTTGTTATATCTTCTAAACCAATGTCGTCCCCCACTTGATTCTTGCGGGGAATTACTCAGAAAACTCTCCCCTACAACATATCTAAGTGGCGAGGAAATCGGTGAGGTGTGACCTTTTCTGCATATTTACCATAAGGTAATACTGAAGGAGAGGGGCAACCTCACCGATCTGACTGTAGCTTAGCAATATTGTGTATTTCGATGCGTAAAACACAACTGTAAAAGTAAAAATTGTCGCTCTGCCCTGCGAAGCGAGATATTAATTGTTAAAGTTGACAACTTGGTAATTCTTCAGTATGGCTACACTACCTCAAAAATCAATTTAAAAAATTTTATTCGACGCGTTTTTCAACGAGAAACAACTTTTTCCTTAGACAAAATCGTCGCTCTGCCCTGCGAAGCGAGATATTAATTGTTAAAGTTGACAACTTTTAGGGTTAGGAAATCTGTCATACCGACGAAATCAGACTAAATGCACATCATATGCAGTGACGTATTTCCACGTGAAGCGAGATCCAGTCCACACTTCAGACATGGTTTGGGTAGGGTTATATCTTAACGAAGTGGAGCCCCCCCGAAGGGGGGGCGGAACATACTGTCTCCACGCATGTACTTCCGCCGTTGTATTGTTCCACATGGGTTTGCAACTTTCCACGTGAAGCGAGATCCACTCCACACCTCTGATATAGGGTGGGTAGGGTTATTTTTAACGAAGTGGGGCCCCCCCGAAGGGGGGCGGAACATACTGTCTTCACGCATACATTTTTCTACCCTCATGTAAGTCACTCCTCTCCACCAAATGTAGATGGAAAAATGTATGCGTGAAGACAGTATGTTCTGCCCCCCTTCGGGGGGGCTCCACTTCGTTAAAAATAACCCTACCCACCCTATGTCAGAGGTGTGGAGTGGATCTCGCTTCACATGGAAATACGTCACTGCATATGATGTGCATTTAGTCTGATTTCGTCGGTATGACAGATGTCCTAACCCTAAAAGTTGTCAACTTTAACAATTAAGAATCGAGAGAAAGGGCTCTGAGCCGTGACGAGATGTACGTGTCAATATTTAAAAATAATTTATTGTTATAATAACATATTCCAAACTGCGTTTTTACTATGCTGTACACGACTTACGTTTAATGTTAACCGTCACGAAACTTTATATAATATTACTGTACTGAAGATGGTCTAGAATACGACCGAAACGTCTAATCTTTATGTTATTATAACAATAAATTATTTTTAAATATTGACACGTACATCTCGTCACGGCTCAGAGCCCTTTCTCTCGATTCTGATTTATATCATACGAGCCTTTGTCACACATTTAACAATTAATATCTCGCTTCGCAGGGCAGAGCGACGATTTTATCTAAGGAAAAAGTTGTTTCTCGTTGAAAAACGCGTCGAATAAGATTTTTTAAATTGATTTTTGAGGTAGTGTAGCTATACTGAAGAATTACCAAGTTGTCAACTTTAACAATTAATATCTCGCTTCGCAGGGCAGAGCGACGATTTTTACTTTTACAGTTGTGTTTTACGCATCGAAATACACAATATTGCTAAGTTACAGTCAGATCGGTGAGGTTGCCGCTCTCCTTCAGTATTACCCGCGTTTTATTTAATATATTTAATTAAAAAGAAATCGTTGAACTACATCATAGATAGAAATTACGCGAAATATGACGAATACTATCGATGTATTCGGCCAACTAATCTCTCGTAGCCTATTTTTAATTACAGAATTGATATATGTATAAATTAAAACAATATGACGTGAGATTCCAATATATTTTGTCGAGAATACTTAAACTTGAAATTATTTTTATATTTTATTTGAGATTATCAATTAACTGTAATATTCAATTATAATATCGGTATCACTCGTGGGGCAAGTTGCTTTTTTCTGGATCTTACGTCATTTACTCTGCATGTCTCGCGATACTCTCAAGATGCGTCTCCCATGAATACATGCATATACTGCGTTCACGGAGAGAACGACCACGCATTTCGTCCGGTTCGGTCAGACCACGCCTCCATTTTGCCCCCTCCACACCGAACAGGCCCTGAGTAGCGCGTTCGATTTCCTCTACCTCATCCCCACTCTGTCCAAAGCTGCGCGAAGCGTGGTCATTCTCTCTGTGAACGCAGTATAGTCATAGTCACACGTATCTCGTATTTTTGTGGTCGATTTTAGCGGTCGGTTTTCGCGATCAGTTTTTACATGTTTAAGAAATTATTGTTTAATTTCATCGCGGAATATAATTAAAATACGCTCGACAGCAAAATTAAAGGATCATTAAAATATTGCCGAAAAATTGTCGATATTTGAAGTGCTATAACTTCGTGAAACAAAATCGTACGACAATGTTTCTGGGCTCATTTTAAAGGCCGAAGCCTCTACTTTCGCTTCCCTAAGTTGATTTTCCTCGAAGATGCTTTTACACTAGGAAGCGAGGTGGAAATTTTAAAGATTTAAACTTCGAAAATTTCACAAAAACCAAACGACTCTTCAGAGTTGCCAAAATTTATTTCGCGGCTCACATTAGCATGAATTCGAAGACTGAAGTCTATTCTTTAAAATAAGATGTCGAACATTGATCTACGATTTTTTTCGCTATTTTATTGTTGTTTGGAGAAACGATTAAAACCCATGCAATCTGGGATTTGCGAAAAGATGGTCCTTCTTCATGGTCCGCGCTCTACACCTACTCGACTCGTGCGGACCGCTTCTACGGCCCGCATTTCCAGCCAATCAGGCAAGGTCCTTCTTCAGGGTCCGCGCTCTGTACCAACTCAATTCGCACGAAACCTCTCGATGAGCAGCTCTCTCCACCAATCAGATGCGCAATTTGACATGGGCCCTCTCCATGGTCCGCGCTTTTCGACAAGAGGTCGAGCCTCGGACGAAGCTCGTCTTTGTTCGAGTGCTTCGTTACGCGCCGCTCGTCCTTCACGGTCCGTAGTTTGGTGAACGTTCTTTTGTTTGTTTGATCGATAACGCGAGTGAGAACTCTTTCTCGAGTCTTTTGCATTATCCGAGACGAGGGAGGCTCGGAGTTTTTGAAACCGCTTCGTCCGCAAGGACTTGGTGCCCGCTAACGCACCCAGGAAAACCGCTTCGTCCGCAAGGACTTGGTGCACTCTAACGCACCCAGGAAACGCTTCGTCCGCAAGGACTTGGTGCACTCTAACGCACCCAGGAAACACTTCGTCCGCAAGGACTTGGTGCACTCTAACGCACCCAGGAAACGCTTCGTCCGCAAGGACTTGGTGCACGCTATCGCACCCAGGGAAACCGCTTCGTCCGCAAGGACTTGGTGCATGCTATCGCACCCAGGGAAACCGCTTCGTCCGCAAGGACTCCCTGCGTTTGCTCATACTCTAGAATACCCGCCTATTCCAAAGGATCGTGCGCTTGCTCGCACCCGGAATCACTAAATCCTTACAGCCAGCAGATCACCACCCGGATTAATGTGTTGAGGATAACGAGGACAGCGATTCTCAGTTGATGGTTCGACGTCGAGATCAGATCGGATAAGTACTCATTTCACCGACGAGAGGAATTCAATCGCCCGTCGTCTCAGAGCATGGATTAACAGTTTACGTTCTTATTTCTACCTGTCTATTTTGACATAAGTAAACATCCTTGTAATCTTTTTCTTAGCGTATAAATTATTTCCTGAGCAATAGAGCCAGCGAGTAAAGTGCAAACATTATTTTTGGTCCTTCGAGCCGGATCCGTGCTCGGGCGTTCGGGCGGCAGTTGTTCCGCGATCGTCAAACATATCGCCCATGTTGTTTCTGTCCGGTCAATGCTCGGTTGCCGGGCGGCCATTTTTCTGCGATTGTCTGATGTATCGACGACGCTGTTTCTAACGGGTGAACTTTTTGATGTGCTCTCTGTTCCTTTCCTTTTTTTTAATTACATGCCAAGACGCGGGTCTCTGTTCACGCTTACGATTTTGAGGTGCCGCATGTCTCTACAGGAGACGTGCCGTGTCACCTATCTTTCTGTCGAGTCTCGCTGTTAAAAATATAACAAGACAATATAAGTGCGATTGCTGCGAACCGCGTAATTGACAGCCTTTCAGAGCTTGCAGAATATTACAAATCGAACGAGTCTTGGCTTACTTGATTGTTTTATGACAAAACGCACGAGTGGCAGCGTATCGCGCCCTCGTCGATTGCGCACATTTACTTATTCAATTGTGTCTCATGTGTTTTTATTTCTCTAATATCTTATTCAATTGTGTCTCATGTGTTATTATTTCTCTGATATTTAATTCAATTGTGTCACATGTGTTATTATTTCTCTGATTTCTTAATTCGGTTATGTCTCATGTATATTATGCTCCATGTGTGTATCATTTAATATGTGTACCTGTCCCATGTATTATTTATTATGTGTAACTGTCACATGTATTATGTTCTCACATGTCTAAGAGTTTCTTTTGACTACTACATTTAACCATTTAATAATTTTCTTACTACATTCTTGATTAATTTACTACGATTGTTCGCAAATTTAATAATTTTCTCACTACGTTCTTGATTAATTTACTACGATTAATTGCAAATTCAATAATTTTCTTACTACGCTTTTGATTGATTTACGTATTCATTTAATATGTTCACGACTTTACTAAATTGCTTAAATTGTCACTGTTGAAACTAACACGCCTAGCTACATGCTCATTTTACTGAATTCCTGAATTATCTACCTATATAATATAATAATAAGTTTTGTCAAAACGAAGTTATCACATATCTCGTATATTGAGCCAGCCTCGTGGCACTACCCACATTTGTTCTTTGCTTGATTACCCCACACCATATATTTTAGCGACGTTGTACTCTGTTGGGTCTCGACGTCGAACCACGCTACTGATCAAGATGGCAAACGTTGATGCACGAATCTCCTTACAAAGGAGTCGATTTAATTTAATACAAGAGGCCGCTGATTTCACCGAACAAGACATTTCGTCTTTCAATCGACAACTTATTACTACCCGGTTGGCCTTGTTGGAACAGAATTGGAATAGATTTCAGGAAGAACACGAGAACCTATGTCTATCCGAAAGCGAAAATCTGAGTCATCAGCCCTATGTAAGGGAACGAGTCTACGAGCGCTGCCAAGCCTTCTATGTGTACTCGCGTGCAAAACTACTTACCAAACAGGAGGAATTAGACAGCGTGGGCCAGTCTTCCGGTTCTGCGCATTCGGAACAAGGGGCGGTCCGTTCGTTGTTGCCGCGCAGCGCACTTCCAAGAATTAAATTGCCAAACTTTTCCGGAGAATATCATTCGTGGAGAACATTTCACGATTTGTTTGTTTCATTGATCAAAGTAAACTCTGATTTGACTGACGTAGAAAAAATGCACTATCTAAAAACGTGTCTCACTGGAGAGGCGGCTAGACTTATCTGTAACTTGCCACTTTCGGGAGATAGCTTTGCCATAGCTTGGAACCTATTACTTTCGCGATACGAGAATAAACGATTCTTGATTTGCGCGCAACTCGACCGTATCGCAAACTTGAAGCCCCTCAAAACAAAGAGCGCCAACAGGCTGAGGACTCTCCTAACAACAATTCTAGAAGCCATCGGAGCATTACGGGCCCTCGACTGTTCCGTACACAATTGGGATCCCTTGTTGATACACCAGTTTACGAGGCTTTTAGACTCGGAATCTCGGGAGGCTTGGGAGGTGAAACTCGGCTCATCTCCTACGTTCCCAACCTTCAGTCAGTTCGAAGAATTTTTAAGCGGAAGGACAAGAGCCATGGAGAACCTTCAACCGAACCTGGCTTCGGGATCAAATAAAGAACCATTCCGCAAGCTATTATCCCAATGACAAAGGGCCGCTACGTTGACGACATCTTTGGAGGAGCCGACTCATTGTCAGTCTCAGAAGCCAAAGTTATCGTTAAGCAATAGGGTATTATAGAAAAAAAATACCATATAAATTTTATTTTTAGTCAAAAGTATAAATTATAAAATAATTATTTCCAAATTCTTAAGACTTTCTACTAACAATAAATGATTAAAAATAAGTGAAAAAGATGATCAAAAATATGAAATTTTCACGTGACTTGAAAACGCTTCGTTATTGGTTAGTTCGTGTATGACGTCACTTCGTTACTAAAATCTCGCAAGAATAGAGAGAACAAGGAGATTAGTTTAATTTTGGTAAGAAAAACAACTCTGAAATAAAAATGGAAACATGGTAAAAGCAAATTCGACAAATTTACCAAAAATTAACGTTTTTATGGTCTATCAATTTATAAAGGAAGATGATCGCTTTAATGCTGCGGAAACGCGAGGGGTAAAAACATTGGCGTAAGTATAATATTACATGAAACTTTATTAAATATATATAAAAATATTCAAATTAATTAATTTATAGTTCTATTTGCAATTAAAATACATATATATTTACCTTTTAAATATGAAGACCTATGTTTAGGTTTAGGTTAGTTAGGTTAGGTTATGTTATGACTTCGGGAGGGTGAGCTTCGCACATGGAGGGCGGACTGCGGCGTCCCGCAGGGGTCGGTCCTAGGACCACTCCTGTGGGATGTTGCGTACGACGAAGTGCTGCGTGCGGCACTCCCCGCCGGCTGCACATGCGTATGCTACGCGGATGATACGCTGGTGCTGGCCGGCGGGGAGAACTGGGAGGAGGCCACCGCCAATGGCAATCTGGCGGTGGCCTGTGCGATCAGGGCCATAAAGGCATTGGGGCTAAGGGTGGCGGCCAAGAAGACCGAGGCAGTCTTCTTCCACGACGGCTCGGCCGGGCCGCCACCCGAAGCCCGAATTGAGGTGGATGGCGAGCGCATAAAAGTGGGGGCCCAGATAAAATATCTGGGCCTCCACATTGACGGAACCTGGGGCTTCGAGGAGCATTTCCGGAGACTGGTGCCCAGATTGGACAGCGCGGGAAACGCGTTATCGCGCATAATGCCCAATCTGGGCGGGCCGTGTGGGAAGACCAGGAGGCTTTACGCCAACATCGTCTCATCAATAGCTACGTACGGTGCCCCCGTGTGGGCAGAGCCCCTACTGAGGAGCAGGAAATCCCTGTCGATCCTCAGGGGGGCTCAACGGCGAATGGCCATTAGAGCCATACGGGGGTACCGTACGGTATCCCACACGGCGGCCACGCTGCTGGCCGGGATGCCGCCCCTTGACCTGGTGGCGGCCGAGTACGCAAAAGTGTACCGGCGCACCAGGGAACTTCGAGGGCAAGGCATTCCGGTCACAGCGAAGGCTAGGAGGCTCCTCGGAGCCCGGGCAAAGAAGGAGACGCGGGAGGAATGGCGGGCGAGACTCTCGGAGCCACGGACTCCGGGTAAGCGCACCGTTGATGCCGTCCTCCCGGGTCTGGACGAATGGCTTGAGCGCCCGTGGGCGAGGGCCTCATTTAGGACGTCGCAGGTGCTCACCGGGCACGGGTGCTTCGGTGAGTACCTGCGGCGGATAGGGAAGGAACCGAGCGAGAGGTGCCACCACTGTGGCGCGAACAAGGACTCGGCGCAGCACACTCTAGAAGTGTGTCCCGAATGGGATGCACAGCGCCGAGTCCTTGTCAACGAGATAGGCCTGGACCTGTCCCTGCATGCGGTCGTGGCGGCAGTTACAAGGGACAGGAGGAAATGGGAGGCTTTCTCCTCCTTCTGTGAGCATGTCATGCTGCAGAAGGAGGAGGCTGAGCGAGTGCGAAGGGGGGAGGCAACTCCCCCCACAGCACGACAAGGCGGCGGGGGAGCGGGGATCGGAAGAAGAAGAGGGAGAAGAGGAATCCCCGCTCACCTCAAGAAGTGGAGCCTGACCTAGGCGATGGGTCAGGAACAGGGAACAGTCTATGGGGGGGGG